ATAAATAAAGAAATAAAATAAAAATGATTAATTAAGAAAGAGTTAATAAATAATCATTTTTATTTCTGAATATTTTATTCTGAATATTTCCATAAATGGAAAGTGAACATATGTTTTGTCTTCATCGTCTTCCGAAGGCGATTGATCTTACCAAATTTGGCGAATTCTCAGTATGATGTACAATCTTTTTCATGTCAACGACGCCTTCGTAAGATGATTGCAATACACATATGCAATCATCCTGCAAAGGTATATACAGATTTAATACAATTTTATTATTATTTTATGCAAGAGATTTAATGCGAAATATTTTTCTTGCATTTTCTCTTTTTTTTTTAAATATCTCGTTAAATTTTTTTTTCACATGAATATCTCTCCAAAATTGTATGATTCATATAAATTTTTTTTAACAAAGGAAGGACAAAATAATTTTGCTCTTTAATAACGAAAGATCGAAAATTAAAAAAAAATGTTTAGGTCAAATTCGATTTAAACGAATCTAATATGTTTGATTTGCAGGTCACGTTTGCTTTTGCACGTTCATCGAACGTAAACACGACGTTGACTTGGCCTTGTTCCTGCTGCTCTCATTTCAAGTATAAGAAACGTGTAAACAATGCGAATACACTGCATTTTCCGAATGATGGTTGAAAAATAATTTTCATTCAATCTTTTTAATTATTGTTTCGAGAACTTTATTTAAAAAGAAGTGCATTTGCTAAAATTTTAAAAGAAATGAGAGACCTCAAAAATATTGATTTTTTTTATCGTATTGTCATCGTAATGCATCAATAAAATTATCTCAATAGCGTTTGAAATGAAATGATTATAGATTCGATATAGAGTAATATATTCAAATATGATTTCGCATAGTTGAAGAACACGGTATAATCTTTCAATTCGATACAAGTTGCGGACACTTAACACATCAACGTTAATTTGTTCGGTCGACTGTTAGTTAGGTTTGGTTAGCGTGTTTGCCGTGCGTATTTAACGTACACGCACGTTAAACACATTGAAAGTGATGAATATAGCTTTGCTTCCTCGTTTCTCGCATGCATTGTAAGCAAGTACTTCGTCTCGTGTGTTTCTATGATCTCTCATCTTATCAACTGAGACAAGAATCTGTTAGCATAGCAAAATATTTTTTCCATCAATTGTTATTCTTTTTTCGATAACGAGACATCATTTTCGTTTAACGAAATTTACGAAATAATACAAATTTCATAAGAAACAATTTGTAACTCTGCATACACAATAAATGCCACGTAATTGGAAAATTTTTCGAATTTTTGAAACGAATTTTGAATTTTTCATTATAACCTTTAAAACCGATAAAAGAAAATAATATATTTTATACGAATTTGAAAAAAATATCAAAAGTTATTGCAACTATAACGCTAATCATAGTTCGACAAAATAACGTATAGTAAAATTGTTTCATTGTTTCGAGGAGAATTTATATACGGAGAACGTATGTAATCATAAAATACTACATGATACGGTAACGGTAGTTTATGGGATTCGCTATGTAGATGGGTAAAGGTTGTGATGATTTATCTGGTTTGCGATCTTTCCTATCCTCAACCCTGTGCCCGTAATCATTGTTTCGGGCCATATTGTTGGCTATCTTCTCAATATCCGTAAAAAATTGTGATACTTAAACGGCATAATGGAGAGTGCACGGAAACTGTCGTGCCGACGATCCATAGTGGCGATAGCGAGAGAACATGGCCAATAACATCGTTAGACCGGTCAAGCTGGTAAAATGTCGTTGAATCATACTCGGCAACGTGCAGATTCAACTTTTGCATTTTTCATTTAAGAAATTTTTTTTTAAACAAACTTTTTTCAACTTTTTTAATTTTCCTTTCAAAATAATTCATCAGAGAAAATGAAAAATAGTCTTATTTTTAAGGTTAAGAAACAGATGTCGCGACTATCGCGTGGCAGCATTACGGATCGGATTATACATCGGAACAGTTGTTAATAATCTCCCTCGAGAATTCACGAGCAACTTTCGGTCGATTCTCGTTATCAAATCTTTCCCCCCGCGCGTTACCTTTGATAAATCACTTTCTTTCGCTTTTTCAGAGTGTTGCGTTCCACGTTACACGCATTTAAGAGTCAGAATCGACGACAATGGTATATATAATGAAGCGCATAAACAATGGGTAAAACTTCTCTTTCCTTCTCGTTCCCTGTTTGTCGTTGGCAATGCACAATGGAGATACAAAGGCTGTTCGGCCGACAACGGCACTTTATGGGGCTCATAAAGCGATAAAGACATCCGTACAAATGTACACGCTTCGTGTAACACACCATGCACTTCCGCGCTATCTCACCTGAGAAATGTTCTCGTAAGAAAAGTGTGTGCATCGCTGTTTTTAGTCTGCTCGGGGCAAATGGAATAGAAGTGTAATAGGATATACGCGTAAAGAGGTGAAACGGGAGTATTACCCCTAGTATTTTTTTTTTTACGCTCAATTATGAAAAGTATATTACAGACTATGTTTAATTTTTCTACGTTATTACGACAATTGAAATTTAATATATATATTTTTTTTCTGTATTAACGAAAAAACGATCGATCACGAAGTTGTGGAAAAAAATTAAAATTCGGAAAGTAGGATGGAGAATTTTTTGAATCAAATTCAAAGCAGATATCAAAAGGAATTTTTCGGGTACAAGAGGTCAACGAGTTTGCCTCGCTTGACCTTGCCGTTAAATCATACATGAAGAGATTCCTTCGTTGGTGGTCCTCGTATCGTCCACGTTTATTAATGGCCCAGTCCTTCAAGAACAATCTCGCAAAGTTATCGCGATTATTTATACATATTTACTAAATTCAACGTTCATATTCTGTATAAATTATATTATAGCGGCTATATAAATCAGCCGAGAAATTGATTTCCCTAAAAGATTAAATAGAGAAGATGTTATATCTATATTTATAAATCTTCGTCGAATTTTCATTTATTTCGAGTCAAGATCAAGGTATTTGATGGACAACGATTATGCAACCGGTGTTTCGTGTTTTGCATTTTCGAATTATCTAAACGAAGCGTAACAGGGTTTCTGGGATTATAGTACGAGACGTTGCGTGTGTCGTGGCATAATCGAACACCGTTGAGAATACAAAGACTGGTCAAGATAAAGATAGAGTGTAATTTACTCGCTTCCACTTACGCTTAATCGTAGCTGCGCCACTACTTACCGACTATTTATTCAAGATCGATGATGTCATCACTTTTTTTTCATTTTATCTTCCACAGAAAGCACAAATTTATATATATATATATATATGTATATATAATATTTATATTTATATATATTATTTATATATACATTTTTATAATTAATTTTTATAATTAATACGTTTGTGCAATCGTTCCAGGTACAGAGTTCTTCCTTACCAATCGAACGCGATAGAAAAATTCCGTTAGAAGCTGTCGTTTCGAATCTCTATGAAGCAGGATTATTCGTTGAATTTATTAGGAAATCTCCCTGCTACTTCCAAACTGTCCTGCAAGTGTCAAATCGAATTTTCTCGATTACATCCGGCTTGTGAATCATCATTTCCCAACCGGTGGACGTAAAAGTCTCTGTTTCCGTCTTTCCCCTTATTTTCTACCAATCTGGACGGTTAAATAAACTCTCTCTCTCTCTCTCTCTCTCTCT